CCCCCCCCCCCCCCCCCACGGGGGAGGAACAGGTCGAGTCACCTGAAGCAGGAAGTTGAGGAATAAAGGTGTCATTAAAACACAAGATCACACATACGCGCGTTATACATCACCAGACTGATCACTGGGAGAAGATGGTAGGTTACATTTAATTTTGTTTTATAAACATTTACATAATAAACGTGTATTGTGTAACAGCTGAGACAGGCATTCACACTAGTAGTTTACATTCAAGTAACGCTTTATCCTTCTTACTTTAAAACTACAAACAGTTTAGAAGTTCCTTTAGTATTTTACCCAGGGTCCGAAGGGCTGAACCGCAGTTTAGTTGAATGCCCCTCGAGCTTGAAACGTAGACAGCGGCGAAGTTGGGGGGAGGAACAGGTCGAGTCACCTGAAGCAGGAAGTTGAGGAATAAAGGTGTCATTAAAACACAAGATCACACATACGCGCGTTATACATCACCAGACTGATCACTGGGAGAAGATGGTAGGTTACATTTAATTTTGTTTTATAAACATTTACATAATAAACGTGTATTGTGTAACAGCTGAGACAGGCATTCACACTAGTAGTTTACATTCAAGTAACGCTTTATCCTTCTTACTTTAAAACTACAAACAGTTTAGAAGTTCCTTTAGTATTTTACCCAGGGTCCGAAGGGCTGAACCGCAGTTTAGTTGAATGCCCCTCGAGCTTGAAACGTAGACAGCGGCGAAGTTGAGAAGGAGAACGTTGTCAGTTGTATCGTAGCGTCATTGGCAGTATATTAGAGTTTAGTCGTGTATGTTTGTATTATAGCCCTGTGTGTGTAGGAGTTTTACACTGTATGTGGTCTCTTATTTAATCGATGAATCAGAAGCTCTTCATGGAAAGTGTTGTAGAAGTAGGGGAAGATATGTCATTTATTAATAATAGAATTTAACAGATGACACCTGGAATGTACGATTTAAATAAACAGATGCTCACTGCTTTGTGTGTAAAAAGTTCACTGCATTAAATATCTAAAATTGTAATACTGCAGCAATTAGTAAAAGCAAAGAGGAAAACTACACCTGATATAAATCTCTATAAATGTATTTTGTTTATCATATGCATTGGGAGTGCATGAGTACATAATGTTACCATTATTCAAAGATGATGCCTGAGCCCTTTGGACAGTCTGGAAACCGATTTAAAGCAATTTCCCACATTTATTAGTAAAATAGCAAGTCACTACTGGGTTGATCTCCATGTATTTTGCATGCACTGAACCATTTTCACTGGCCTAGAAATAGTCCTCTACCCTCAGATAAATAATTCTGTCAAAATTCTGATAATATTGCAAATAAATATCAAAGTCAACTCAGAAACAACACGAAAACATGTAACCTTTGAAGGATCGATTACTCTTTTAAAACTATTGTACTTTATATTTACTTTATTCTAATATGTATTTTAAATTACAAGACTAAAATATTAAATATGTCTTTTTGGGGGGGCAATATCCATACATGAAATTGTTTATTATTTTTGGGAGGTTGATGGAGGATTAAATTGTACTTATACATAAATGATATGGTCACTGTAATTGTGTTGTTCATTAAGTTATTACTGATGTTACATTTATTACATTCATTACAGTTATACATGCTCCCCCTAATTAGTCTGTTTCAATGGTGGGTAATATTCCTGATCACATTTTTAGTCATTTTCACAAATTATATGGAAAGTTTTCCTATAGCAAAACTTGGATTTTAATAACAAGGAATGTGTACAGGATTCCTAGTATAATTTAGAAATAATCCTGAAGGACCCTAAAATCATTCAAGAGTTTACTGGATTTTTATTCTGATTTGATAGTATATGAAATTTCACTTGGGTGGGGGGAAGTGGTAGTATCAAAATAAAGTGATTTTTGCAAGTTGTAATAATCGATGTGTTTTTGTAAGAAAAATATCCATATTCAAAACGTAATAATCACTTGAATCTAGCTTGCGCTCGCTGTTGTAAACGGAAGCAGCTCAGGGCTGATGACGTATGAGGTCAGCGTTGCGCATGCGCCGCTCAGAAGTGACGCACGCGGAAGCGCAGGGGAGAGATCAAAACAAAACAACGGTCACTAATTAGAAGTACAAAACGAGGATTTGTAAAGAAGAAGGTCGGAGGATTTCGATATAAGCCAAGAGGAGACTTGTTTTCCTTTGCTAAAGTAAGGAAACGTTGCTTCTTTTGATCCTGTTAACAAACGTTGGTTTTCACGAGACTCACCGGCGCATGCGCAACGCTGACCTCATACGTCATCCGCCCTTTATGTCACGTCTTTTGAACAGAAGGAATGCAACACCCGCCGAGTACAACGATAGAGCTTGAAAGATCAAAGACAATTTTTAATATAACTCTGACTGGATTCGTCTGAAAGAAGAAAGTCATATACACCTAGGATGCATCGGGGGTAAGTAAAACACAGCCTAAATTTCATTTTGGGGCGAACTAACCCTTTAAGCATTCTTTACAACTGGTCCCCAATTACAATAGAAATTCCATACTAAAAATATATAAATTGATTGCTCAAAAGAAAGAATGAATGAGTGGATGGATGAATTTATGAAGATCAAATCATGTAAAGCATAAAATATGTGCATGTATAAAGAAACAACCTTATAACAAAAAATTACCTTGTTCTACTGTTTACATTTTATATTTATTCAAATTTATGTAAATATAAAGTTGAATTGCAATTTATAACTTGCATTGTAATGACTTGTGTTTTTTTTCCCCATTTATTTGTTTATGTTTCAGCCTTATTCAGAAGCAAGAGCAACATGTCAGAGCAGCATATGGATGACACAGCAGCTCTTACACTGAAAAACCTCCAACATACGACGGGATGCAGTCGAGGTGTTACCATAAATCCGCTGGCCTGGGCCAAGACAGACCTGACCTCCATGACCTGCAGATGAAGGTCGACTTCTTTCGTAAGCTGGGCTACTCTCCACAAGAGGTGAAGGCCGCCCTGAGGAAGCTCGGCCTGGGGACGGACACCAACGCGGTGCTGGGGGAGCTGGTGCGTTCAGGGGCCAAGGCCGTGCCCTCCTCTAGCTCAGACAGTGATGATGGTGGGTTCAGTTTGCCCCATCAGGGAGGAAGCTCATCTAGGGGACAGGACTCAATGATGGAGGACACCTCTGAACCCGAAAGTGACCTGAAACCTATTGTTATTGATGGCAGCAACGTGGCCATGAGGTGAGGACATGGTACTACTGGCCTTTTTTCTCCTAGAATTTTTCAGTAGTCTTTCGATAGAAACAGAATTGAAATTGAATTGGAGATTGAAAACTAAGCAGAGTTTTGAGTCTTTGCCAGTTTAACTAGTATCAACAAGTTGACATTACAAAGGGAAATTCATGACAGCTCAATGTCATTTTACTTACCACTTCCCATAGTGAATTGCTCATATTGCCTTTGGGCTTTAAACTTAGACCTGGTTCTTCTGAAAAGGTTTGTACTTCCTCTTTGTCCATGCTTCTCTGTTCTCCAATATGCAAATAATATGCACTTTTTTAACCATTTCGCTTCCAGGAGGCCAAGGCCTCAGGCTCAACACACTCAGCAACATTTTTGGTCATGCATTCTGCAAAGGTTGCACTAGGGAATTTTGTGAAAGACATTCTTCCTTGAAATGAAGGGTTTATAAGTAGTCTAGGAGAGGAGGTAAATTACAAGACTTTATGCACATTCTGTGTGAAAGACTATTAATGCATTGATATTTGCGGTAACATCATGACGTAATGGAAATGGCTGTTGTTCTTTCGTGTGTTTTGTTGGATGTAGCTTCCCAGTCAAAACAAACATTTCTGTCATCATTTCTGTCTGTCTTATCTCTCGGTTTTTCTTTATCAGTAGTACTATAAACATATCTGACACGCATCTGTCAACAACTACAGTTTGAGTTCCAGTTGTTGTACTGTTGTAGTATTCCATAATAAGTTTATGCAACTCGGGTTGTGTTTTAGCTTGCCTTCTAGTTGCATTATTGCTATAAGTAATTCCAACATCCACAGCTGAAATAATTTGTGATGGATCAAACTGTTTAGTTTTAGGTTCCCTGTATATGTTACACTGAGTCAACATTTGATGAAAGGTTTTGATCCACTTCAAATGTTGACTACTATATACTGTAGATTAATAATCGATTATTCATTTAAATACTTATAAGTCATCTTGAGGCCCCCGGACCCCTGGCTGCTTTAAACTATTAAAACAGTCCGTATATGTATGTAAAATGCATAATAAGGAATTTTTAACTACATTGCCCTCCACTAATATTGGCACCCTTGGTAAATTTGAGCAAAGGTGGCTGTGAAAATAAATCTGCATTGTTTATCCTTTTGATCTTTCATTCAAAAAAAATTCACAAAATTCAAACCTATCATTGAAGTAAAACAATTGAAAGTTGGGGAAAACTCACATTGTGAAATGTTTTTTCTTCAATGCATGTTGGCCACAATTATTGGCACCCCTAGAAATTCTGAGTAAAATGTCTCTGAAGTATACTCCCATTCATATTTACCTTTTTTTTAGCACACCAGTGTGACAATTGCCCAGCCATGACTTCCTGTTCCACAGGATTATAAATATGAGCAACACAAAGGCCAAATTCCCTTAATCATCCATCACAATGAGAAAAAAAACTATAGATCTCAAAAAACTATATTATAAAGAATATAGTTCTGATCTGCAGAACAAGATTGTTGAGCTTTACAAAATAAAAAGTGGCTGTAAGAAAATAGCTAAAGCATTGAAAATCCCAATTGCCACCATCAGGGTAAAAATTAAGAAGTTCCAATCAACTAAAGATGTTACAAATCTGCCTGGAAGAGGACGTGTGTCTATATCGTCCTAATGCACGATGAGGAGGAGAGTTTGAGTGGCCGAAGTCTCTTCAAGGATCACAGCTGGAGAATTGCAGAGATTAGTTGAGTCTTGGGGTCAGAAAGCCTAAAAAAAATATCAAATTCCAGCATATTCAGTTGTCAGACATGATTGGAACTTCAAACGGGATTGACTTCTATGGTCAGATTAAACTAAAAAATGAGCTTTTTAGTAGCAAACACTCAAGATGGGTTTGGTGAACACAGGGATAAAAAGTACCTCATGTGTACAATGAAATATACTGCTGTATTTTTGATGTTGTGGGCCTATATTTC